TTCAGCATTACATTATGCCATCCTCAGAACAACGAGGATGAGAATGAACAATTAAAAATTGTCACATAAAAATTGCTCGTGTAGACGGGGCTTAATTTAGAGGTCTGAAGTTCAAGACTCAGAGGAGCTGTCATTTCTTTAGAATTCTTTCTTTGCCAAAAAAATTAATAAATTCAATCAAATATAGAACAGGGAACCCGGTAACGGTAACTTAATGTGTAAATTACTAGAGAACAATGAGAATTAATAAATAGTTCTGAACACAAGTAACGCAGGCTCAAGTTTACAGGAAAGTGAGTGAGTGAGTGAGTGAGTGAGTGAGTGAGTGAGTGAGTGAGTGACATATTCTTCCCCCTCCAATAACTCTTCGATTGCTTCGCAATCTTCGAGTTAAAAATGTTGGGCTCAAAACGTTACAAATGTCCTTCGTAAAAGCCAATCAGCAACATCTGGACCATCATCGTCGTCAAATCATAGTTCAAGCAAAGCTGCAGCACAAATAGAATTTCTTAGTTTAACTTTGAACATGTTAAAGGATGGAAAAATAGTAACTATGTCAGACTTACAAGATCTGTATGAAAACATTTTGGATGCTAATAATTCTGAAAACCCAACAATCACAAGAAAGACATTGAAAGGCCTTCTGCAAAACGAAATTCCGGATATAGAATTCCATAAACCCAAAAGAATAAATGAGTCCGAAAGGGTTACCATCAAAAGTACACGAGATTTTGCGGTTCAGCAATCAGAAGATTACGAAGAGTCAGAAGAAAGTGAAGATGACTGTGAAGAAGAGATGAAGATTCTCTTTGATGCTGCAACACTTTTAAGAAGAGCAATTAACAAAAGCAAAGCATGGCACTTCACTGGTTCATTCAATGATATAGGTATAGAACATATACCGCAAGAGCTGAGTTCATTCTGTAGATGGTTAATCAATGGGTCTAGTGTCAACACAGAAGGTGCGCAAAAGTCTGATGAGATAAAGAAGCGGGCTTTAAGTCTATCACAAACTGTTATACACATGTGCCTAACTGAGAGGCAAAGAAGAAACACAAAGTCCCAAGTAATTAAGTCGCGAAGAGAGATGCCCCAACAGCTAGCTGTTGGCTTAGCTGTGCGACAATCGATTAGAAGCAAAGAAATCGTAAATATGCTGCATGGATTTGGAATGAGCGTTGAGTATAACAGGTAATAATATTTTGATATTCACTCTCATCTCTGTACTTATATCTAGCTAATTTTCCACTTATCAAAATAATAGGATCCTCAGAGTCGAAGCCCAAATAGAACAGAGCGTTCTGCAACATATTGATCAAAATAGAGGAGTGTTCCTTCCTCAAGAGTTCGTGAAAAACAGACATGTTTTCTTCGCAGTTGATAATGTGGATTTTTCTGAGGATACTCCTGATGGTAAGAATACACTACACGGAACTGCGATGGCTTTCTACCAAAGGACTGTTAAGGGGACAAAACTCCAGAATTAAGGTTAGATATAGATATGTAATATCCTTATAGATTTCCATTCGATTCACTATTTATGCACTCTATTACTTTTATTCCTAGATTAGAGGTTCAGTCAAAACAACGACGTACTGTAGAGGTTCCTGAATCACTTTTTGAGCTGATGGAATGTCACGAGCCCCCAAAAACTCCTCCGTGCTCAGTGCATCCTGGATTCCAGCTCACTGATGAAGACAGGCTTCCGATTGTTGTAAGACGCCAAGAATTTGCTTGGCTCCTTGGTCGAACTTTGTCTAGAAACTCAAAATCTACCCTTACTAATGAAGACACCCAAGAGACTGACCCAACATCACAACGTACGCAAGTTTTTGTGTGGTCCGCTTATAATTCTCTTGTATACGATACTCTAGATGTCACAAGAAAAGCCGTACCCCCGCTGATCCCATCGCCAGCACACGAGTGGAGTACCTTACTAACTATACTACAGCAAGCACAAAATATTAACACGCTAGTCCTTGGAGCGGAAAGAAAGACAGTGGTCACACTAGATCTAGGACTTTATCTTCCTGCAAAACGCCTCCAGATGGCACGAAATGACATGAATCATTTGATTCTCCGACCAGGTGTGATATACGCTATTACCAATATGAACTAATTTGCTAAAACATAGCTTATGTTGATGATATTTGTTTCAGGTGAATTACACATTGTGATGGCGCAGTTAAGAGCGCTCGGATGCTACATTGAATAGTGGTTTAGATTTATGCTGGGTTGAGTCCGACTTATATGGTCCCTCTACAGTTAAGCAGATAATCGAAGGGAAACATGTTAGACGAGGACAAACAGCTCACTTGGTTACTCTTCAAGCCCTTTATTGTCTTTACCAAGATGTCTTCTTCCAATTTGATGGTCAGTGTCATCAAAGAATTTTGCAAGTTGCAAATGAGCTTGATGAAGTGTGCGCACATGGCAAGAGAGAGGAAGTACAGGAAGCGAACACTAGAATGATTAACACCATCACCACTTGTAAAATCTTAGAGAAAATGGCAGAGTTTGACAAATCCAAGGAAAAGAAGCCTATCTTCAAGGTAATGCGTCAGTACATGTGCATGGTAATCGAAATGATGGTGTTCGCGCTGTTCGAACAGGAGACTGGAAGCTACATCTTTTAGCCCTGGAAAAGTTTGTAAGATACTTCTTTGCACACGACATGATAAACTATGCTCGTATGATTCCTGTTTACCTAGCAGAGATGAAAGAATTAAGCAAATCTGATCCAGATATTGTAAAAGAATTCGAAAGTGGGAATTGGGTTGTCAACCAAAATAGTGAGTCATCATTCTGTGCATTGGGTGCAGACCACGCCCTTGAACACGTGAATCGGTCGATGAAAGTTACAGGAGGACTTGTTGGAATAACCCAGAATCCAAATGCAAGAAACAAGTTTTTCCTAATCGCTCCAGAGCTAGCAAGGTTATCAGATGAGGCAAAAAGCATGGCAGGGCTATCCCAGCATAAAAAGAAGAACAAAGAACACCACAACTTAACTGAAGCCGTTTTAGCGCGAGAAGAGAGCAACATAGAAAAGATGAAGACTACCATTGAAAGGTTTACAAATCCGTTTACAGAACAGAGCGAAAATCTATTCAATCTTGTAACTAAAGTCGTTGTGGATGATAAAGTCAAGGGAGATCTGTGTGCCCAAAGTGAAATTGGAAAGAAAATGCTTGATACCTTTGTCAAAGAAAGAATCAAGTCCGGAAACAAAAACCTATGGTCAAAGATGACAAAAAGAAAACTACTAACTTGGAAAAAGAACGGGAAGAAGCTGAAAGTTGTGCTTAAAGATAAGACAGTAGAATTGCAAGAGGATAGGTCTTTGTTTGCTAGGATGATGATGGTTGCAAAATGTCGCCCAGAAATAGCCATCAAAGAAGCTGTTGCCGAATATGAGTTCTCAGTTGTACCAAGATCATTGTTTGCGAATGATGGGACAATGCTGCATTGTTCTGCAAAGAGTTCTCTGATGGCAATCCTAGAGGAGATTGGCAAACCAAATGGACCACCGAATGGGTCACCAAGTGAAGACACTGGGGAGTGTCACATCTCTATTGCTGACCAGATGGATGTTGCTATTGTTGATGGGATGGCGGAGCTACAATCACTCGACAAGCCACAATGGATTACTAATTGCGAACAGCTAGCTGAACATTTCAATGATCGTCTGTTTTCCAAGTACCATGACAGTGATGAACTGCGCCTTATTTTCGATAGATATGACGTGCCAGCATCACTGAAAGCTTCAACCAGAGTTAAGAGGCAAGGAGGCGAGGAACCAATCTACTACCACATAACAGATTCAACCCAAATCAACAAGATCAACATGAAACGTTTACTATCGCACTCAAAGACAAAGATGGAGCTGACAATCTATCTTGGAGAGAAGACAATCCAATATGCTCTACGAAACCAAAGGCGTTTTCTTGTATCATGGAGCTGCCATTGTGAATCAACTCATCTAGAAACAACCCATCTACAAAGCAATCACGAAGAGGCAGACACAAAGATCATTCTACATGCCATTGACGCTACTTCCAATGGAGCCACAACAATCAACATCCATTCTCCAGACACTGATGTGTTTGTTTTGTCAATACGTCGATATCCAGAGCTTTGCCGTAACACAAACTTTGTGACTGGAGTAGGAACACGACACCGTAGTATCAGCTTGCGACCGATTTTCCATGCACTTGGCAAAGAAAAATCATCTGCTCTACCAGCTTTCCATGCTTTAAGCGGGGCAGATATCACAGGTTGTTTTTCCGGGAAAGGAAAGAAGATATGCTGGAAGGTTTTCATTTCAGCTGATGAAGATATAGTCTCAGCTCTCGGACGTCTYGGAACTATCGAGCAACMAGATGAAGAAACCATGAMARGTATTGGCAAGTTTGTGTGTAAGCTTTACCAGCAAAACTGCACAACGTCTGATGTAGGAAAGTTGAGATGGTCCCTATTCARGAARAACCAAGCACAGTCAGAAAGACTTCCGCCCACTCAAGGATCACTATTTGAGGCCATTCTCAGAGCCAACTACCAGACTTTGGTTTGGAACAATGACAAGGTATCTACACCAGACATACCATCACCTGAAGGATATGGATGGAAGCTCGACAACAATGGAGAATGGGTCCCTTTGATGACAAAGAAACTACCTGCCCCTGAGGCAATCATTGAGTTAGTGAAGTGCGGGTGCA